GCTTTGTTTTTTATACAGAATTGTATAATTCTTATGTCTTACAGGTGCTTTTAAAAATAGTACATACTATTAGAAGAGATTTCTTATAATTATAGAAACAGTTTTGGGCTTCCATTAAACTAAAGACTCTATTTTCCACTGGAATTGAAAACAAAATGTACCAGGAAAACAATCCTTGGCTGCCGAAGACAAAAACTCATGTTTGTGCTGTTTGCATTTACAGCAATACACAGACAGTCTTTTATGTAAAATTCTTCCTAATCCTGCTTTGAGGAATCCATCCTCAACAAAGCCGTACATAAATTATACAAACACAATACATAATTAATATATTATAATCGCATATGCTAACAACAACTAGTTCTTTGTTAATGACTATTCCAAATATATATCATATTTAGATTATTTCCGGAGGTAAATTTGAAAAAGAAATGGGATATAGGATATATTTAATTAGTGAGAACAGTGATTCGTGCGTGTTGTACCATCTGATGTTATCACTATGAGAGGGTGAGTATAAGCTTGACGAAATTTGCATTTAAGTTATTAAGTTAACAGAGTTTTGTTGCCTTTACGTAACAGAATGAAGACATGAAGAGATTTTTTTCTATAAATTTCAAAATAATATTATTGAAACTTCAAGTTAGCATCGCGTAATGAGCCGTAATCGCAATCATAAAATTGCATGATGCCAACTTGAAATTTCAGCTTTGAAGATACTAACTTGAAATCTAAAGATAATAAGCTATCTCGGAATAAAATAATTATCATATTATAGTTTACATGACTTGTTACATTATATTTAATTACATTAGCTTGAAATTTCAAATTTCACGCATTGTATCTTACAATTTCAACTTAGTATGTTGAAATGACTTCGTTGTAGTTTCATTATAAATATAAAACAAACGACCCAAAAGGCCTCTGTACCATATCATTTTGACTTTTTATTATAGCATCCTGTTGGAAAACACATTTTAGAAAGTACATTGCATAAAGTCGTTAAACCTATTCATTTGGAAAGTACTCGAAAATGGCCGTCGAGATGCCTTAGGACCCACAATGTCTACACAGCCCACTCGATGACGAAGGGATGCTTGGGGTGTGGCAGTAGAGAGTAATACGTGATTGATCTATTCATTAAGGGACATCTCCCCCCATCGGGGAATGGAATAATAAAGGAAGCGGTCATCAATCATCAGAATAGGACTTTTTTTTCGATATGTATAAATATAAGGACATTTTTAAATTGCCACTTCATACCTCCCTCTTGCTGAGATCGTCAAGTGTAAGTATGTTCGTTTGATGTTGTATTTACTTAATAGTAGTATACATCGGCATCAGTACAAGGACTGACTGACTGACTGAGTTTGGTTTTACGCCGCTTTTAGCCATATTCCAGCAATATCACGGCGGGGACACCAGAAATGGGCTTCACTCATTGTACCCATGTGGGGATGCCTAGCGGTAAAAGCGTTCGCTCGTCACGACAAAGACCTGGGTTCGATTCCTCACATTGGTACAATTTGTGAGCCAATTTCTGGTGTCCCCTGCCGTGATATTGCTGGAATATTGCTAAAAGCGTCATAAAATCGTACTCACTCACTTAAGTTATATATTTAACTGGAATAGGGGCGCATTTTAAACAGAGACAATGATGAAATTTGCTTTCGTTTGGACAAATTACATTACTACAATTATAAGGAAACCTGGCAGTACTTGCAGGTTAGTTACATAATACACAGTAAACAAGTTAACACGTGAAGATCAGGGTTAGAGTTGATCTTCAGTAACCCATGCTTGTCGTGAGAGGCAACTAACGGGATCGGGTGGTCAGGCTCGCTGACTTGGTTGACACATGTCATCGTATCCCATTTGCGTAGATCGATGCTCATGCTGTTGATCCCTGGATTGTCTGGTCCAGACTCGATTATTTACAGACTGCCGCCATATAACTGGAATATTGCTGAGTGCGGAGTAAAACTAAACTCGCTCATTCATTACCACTTTGAGCATCGATCTATGCAGTTAGAATGGCATATGCCAACAAAGTCATTAAGTCTGATATTAAATATACACAAAGTACTTAATTAAGCACCCCTGTATGTTTCAATAATAGGTTTTCAACACGCACATACAACTTCTCGTGGTGACCACGATAGAATTACCCATATGATCCTTTGACTCATAAAACGACAAAATGATTGGAATCCATACTGTTTTTAAGATGATAATTGCTCATTTAAAAAAACCCCACTGATTTCATACAAAACCATGTCTTTACAAGTATGACCCTGGAATGTTTAATGTTGAATTTATTGGTGTAACCTCCATGTGAATGTATGACAGCTAGCACTCTCCTCCTCATACCCCCTGTCAGCCCCCTGATCCTCTGAAGGGGCAGTACACGCCATTCCTCGTGTAAAGTAGCTTCCAATTGGGCCAGGTTCTGTACAGGAGGATTCTTTTGTTTCACACGACGACCAATCATGTCCCAGATATACTCCAAAGGGTTATGATTGGGGCTCATTCAATCCTGAGATATGTCAGTGGGTGCTAAGAACTAAGTTCTTTGTGTATATATTAGTTAGTTCTTATATTAAAAAAAATCCCCAAATGTTGTGATATGAATGATAATTATGCTCTGAGAACTTGTTTCTACATTTGTGACATTTAATGTACGGATACTTGGTTCCCAGGTTCCAGTCATCATGATGAATCTTCTCACCGTCGCCGTTTTTGCCAGCCTTATGGTTGCTACTATGGGTACCTATGGTGGCATCGGCGGGTTTGGTCGTGGTATTGGACTTCATGGGGGTCTTGGAGGTTTTGGGGGTCTAGGGGGCCTAGGAGGTCTTGGAGGTGGTCTGCACAGAGGTCTAGGTTTTGGAGGGCTGCACGGAGGCCTTGGTCTTGGAGGTCTTGGGGGTTTTGGTCTTGGTGGCCTTGGAGGTCTTGGTGGCCTTGGAGGTCTTGGGGGCCTTGGAGGTCTTGGGGGCTTTGGAGGTCTTGGAGGCTTTGGAGGACTTGGAGGCTTTGGAGGACTTGGAGGCGGCCTGTACGGTTTTGGACGCGGTCTCCATGGACTGGGAGGTCATGGTTTCGGTGGCTTCCGTGGTAAGAAATATTAAATACGCTGATATAAACAAAACACACTGAATACAGAGGCTCTGATTAGGCATAGGGCTTAGCTTTTGACGCTGGCCGCTGCTTAAAATTACTGTACTATACCAGTGTCGTAAATTCCTACAAAGTATTGTCTTCCACTTGACCATCGACTATTTTAACATATGACACATTGTGGTGTATGGCTCATATACTGTTTAACGGTAACGTATTATTTTATGTAATAAATTCATCCAATCTTTTAAAAACAAACGCTTATTTGCCACTTATTAGCTTCATGCTTTTTGCAGGATATTAATCGGGGAGAAGCGATTATATCTTCTGAAATCCGAACAACAATCTACAGAAAATGTTATTATACAGAATTAAAATTTGCAAATTGTTCCTTTGTTATTTGTCTGTTGTTAAACCCTTGACAATCCGGGTCGGGCGATGGGGTAGCCTCGTGGTTAAAGCGTTCACTCGTCACGCTGAAAACCTGGGTTCGATTCCCCACATGGGTACAATGTGTGAAGCCCATTTCTGGTGTCCCCCGCCGTGATATTTCCGGAATATTGCTAAAAGAGGCGTAAAACCCAAATGTTGGTCGTAGGATTGTTTGTCAGGCCTCTAAAGACGCACTCCGCAATATACACGCTGTTTACCAAATCACTGAACGTCACAACCAGTTACAGCCGGTGGTGGGTGGGTAGACCAGTGTCACGCCGAATGCACGGGTTCAATTCCCTACATGGGTACCAGGGTATGAAGCTCATTGATGGTCTCACCCGCCGTGATATTGCTGGAATATTGCAAAAGCCACGTAGAAAGCAACACATGATTGAATGAACGACCATAGGTTACAAGGGTCCTGTTCTAGTCCTAAGCCCCCATGGATTTCCGGCAACTGAATGGATCGGGATGCCACAAGTGACTTTGCCTGAATGAGTGAAGGTTGATTTTCAGCTTTTACTTCTGACGCTAACAAACTGTGTTCACGAAAGTATCTTTTCAATAATTTCCAATTTTACAGTATATTTCTTACGAATAATGTGTGAAAATGTTAATGATTTTAAAAGTTTGCCAGTCAGTCTCCTACAATAATTATATATTATGCGTGGTCATGAATTTCTGAAATGACGTCAAGGGAGTTTTAGAATCTTATCGGTGTTAACGCATCCATTACAATGATAGAATTCTTGATTGAGTTCTTGTGTTCTGGAGGGAGTTCTTGATCTCTGGAATGAGTTCTTGAGTGAGGCCTTGATCACTTGCGTGAGATCTTGTGTTCTTGAGTGAGTTCTTGATCTCTTAAATGAGTTATCCAGTCAGTTCTTGACCTCTGGAGTGAGATCTTGTGTTCCTGAGTGAGTTCTTTGGTGAATTCATGATCTCTTGCGTGAGTTCTTGTGTGAGTGAGAGAGTGAGTACGAGAGTGAGCGAGGGAGTGATAGTGCTCTTTAAAACAATCTGTGTGTGCGCAGTTATATCTAGCGTTACATATGTCTCCTTGTCTGTGTCTAGGGATAGTCTAGTGGTTAAAGCGTTCGCTCATCACGCCGAAGACCCCGGTTCGATTCTCCGTATGGGTACAATGTGTGAACCCCATTTCTGGTGTCCCCGCCGTGATATTGCGGGAATATTGCTAAAAGAGACATAAACCCATACTCACTCACTCACTAAAAATAGTGAAAATGAAATTCCACTCTGACACTGTCATGTATACAGAGTTATTTGCCGTAAGAATCGAAAAATTTTGGGATCGTATATTATGGTGATTGTTGTATTTGAACTCACATCTTGCGTAATACCAGCGATAACACACATGCAACCAATATCATCTGAAACAGAGTTACATCCCTTGAAATGTAGACGCGGAAGTGAATCAGTACACCTGGACATAACAGTCCACACTTTAACAGCGATAAGATGAGAAGGTGTTTCATTTACCTGTGATACGGTCCTATATACAAGTTATAAATCTGGCAAATCGCTTTTGATTATCTGGGCATGCACTCGCCGTGACTCGAACCAGCATGGCGTAAGGAAGCGTGACAGGAGGCCCACGTTGTTGGGTCACACTCACAGATGTAAACTATATTTATTTCACTGGATATCGGCGTGTGTTAACTATGTGTGATCATCGATTGTTATTGCCTTATAATTGCTGGTACAAGCGGGTAGATGGACTACAGGGGTGACCGCCTATCAGCCGCGATGTCTGGGACTTTCGGAAATATACCCGACCTGTCTGGTCTTGGAGGTAACCATCGAGAGTTGTTTGCAGTTGTTTACGAGAATAACAAAACGCTTACTACTTCATTTTGTAGTTGCACTTAACTTTATTTGCAGTGAAGTGACTAAGAAGAATTTAGTTCTTATTGGAGGAAATACTCGCGCATCAGCTGTATGTGGACATTGTACGCATGTCATGTACACTAGGGGGGGATCACAGCACACCTTGTTAGAGTATTAATAAGTTAATCAGATATGCTTAAAATTACGGGGGTGGGGGGTATGGGGATTTGATTTTGTACATGACTTGCATGGGGTCACTTACTTATATAATGGTCAGATACTCAACCAGGTTGAAACAGACTTATAGTGACTGACCCAAGCATAACTAAGTTAAAATCTTAAGGTGTAGTACATTAATTAATTTAAATCCTTCACACCCACAATGAAACTAATACCAAATACTAATAATATTCATATTAATACTAATGCTAATATTAGTACTAATTACACTATATACTATATACACTGTACACTAATAACTGAATGCAAATGTTAGTACTAACACTAATAACTAATGCTAATATTAGTACTAATTACACTATATACTATATACACTGTACACTAATAACTGAATGCAAATGTTAGTACTAACACTAATAACTAACGCTAATATTAGTACTAATTACTACTATATACACTGTACACTAATAACTGAATGCAAATGTTAGTACTAACACTAATAACTAATGCTAATATTAGTACTAATTACACTATTTACTATATACACTGTACACTAATAACTGAATGCAAATGTTAGTACTAACACTAATAACTAATGCTAATATTAGTACTAATTACACTATATACTATATACACTGTACACTAATAACTGAATGCAAATGTTAGTACTAACACTAATAACTAATGCTAATATTAGTACTAATTACACTATATACTATATACACTGTACACTAATAACTGAATGCAAATGTTTAGTACTAATAACTTATAACTAATGCTATTATATTAGTACTAATTACACTACTATATACACTGTACACTAATAACTGAATGCAAATATTAGTACTAACACTAATAACTAATGCTAATATTAGTACTAATTACACTACATACTATATACACTGTACACTAATAACTGAATGCAAATATTAGTACTAACACTAATAACTAATGCTAATTTTAGTACTAATTACACTATATACTATATACACTGTACACTAATAACTGAATGCAAATATTAGTACTAACACTGAAAACTATCAATCAATGAATCAACCTTTATTCCGTTCTGAAGAGTTTGTGAGTTTAGTTTGACGCCGCACTGAGCAATACTACAGCCATATGCGGCGGTCCGTACTGTAAAGCCACAGAATATATAGTACATAAAACGTACATACATTTATATTCGCCCGAGGAGTAACTTTTACATTTTTTCAAATATTATTAACTTTCTTTCTTTGTAATGTTGCATGGAATGTAAACATTGATAAATTATGAAGTATTAAAATGTTTGTACTTAGTAATGATATAAATTTAATAACGTTTGGATATCTATAAAAATGATTTGGTAAATATTTTCTTCTAAGATCTGAGTACAGCGGACAAACAAGAAGGTAATGGTACTCATCCTCGACAATGTTTAAATCACATAGTTGGCATAGTCTCTCTAGTCGATTAATGTTAGTATAGCGTCCAGTTTCTATAAATAAATCATGAGATGAGGTGATAATGCAACTGGGAACTTCTTTACTGTTATCTTAGAGAGGTACCACTCCAAACTTATTTGCGCTTTAAAAGGTTTGTAATAGAAACATTTGTTTGATAGAGTCAGTGATTCAAACCATGTCTGCACATAAATATCCTAAGTCTTTGAGTCAGTGACAAGATAACATTAGGGTGGCAGCTAACGTTTTGGTCTTACCATGCGTTACCAAACCTGTTTTAAACAGCAATGTTTTTATATTCGTACCCACATATTTTTCCATTATTGTCATAAACTATCATCATATTGTAACACATTTTGGGAAATCTGCGTGCAGGCATGTTCAACAATCTTAACCAGTACTTGATAGCCTTAACTTGATAAAATATGTGCATTTGGAATTTACCACATTCACCATAAACCATAACACTAGATGTACTTGTCTTAAAGCCAAGAAATATTTTACAGACATAAAAATGTTGTAAGCCCCAGACTTCAGATCCATACAGTAGTATTGGGCTTTTTTTAACATCAAATATTTTAAAAGGCGGCTTAAATGAAACATTTCCTGAAACATTTAGCTGTTTATAGATACAAATAAAACCTTTTGAGCTTGTATTGCTGCCATTTTAGTGTGTCTATTCCATGACAGAGTTTTGGTGAAGTAAACACCTCAATATTTATCGAACGATGTTATTTCTAAAAGTTCTCCTTTGAAAAACCATTTTTCTTTACCCGATATTTTGCCACCTTTTTTTAAAAAACTACAACCTTCGTTTTATCTCTGTTTACACTTAGTTCCCAATTATCACACTAATTCTCTGATTCATCGATTTGTCTCTGTAGACCATTAACAGTAAAAAAAGGAAAATAATATGATATCATCTGCAAATAAAAGCAAACACAGCTGCGTAATATCAGGATGTAATTGGATGCCATGATTGCAATTTTAATGAATTTGAGTTGCTAATTCATTTATGAAGAACCTCAACAGAAAATGACTTAAAATACAGCCCTGTCTTATACCTAACTGGCTTGTAAACGTTTTTGAGACATCGTTATTATTTCTTACACATACCTTTACATCTTTATAAATACTGCATAAAAGTTTATTCAGTTTCCTACTCAAGCCATGCATTCGTAAGAGATTCCATAGTTTATTTCTTTATACCGAGTCAAATGCTGTAAAGAAATGTACAAAAAGAGCATAAAATTTACCACCTTTAGTTCTTAAATACTTTTGTACAATTGTTTGAAAAATATAAACATTGTCAGCTGTTGAGTACCCTTCTCTAAATCCCGCTTGCTCTTCATTTATTTTATCCAGAGTATCTGCCAATACAACTAGTCTTTTATTAATGATATAAGTAAACGTTTTACTAAAATATGCTAAGGAGGGTAATCCCTCTATAATTAGTCATACTATTTATATCACCTTGTTTATAAATGGGGACAATTACACCAATTGACCAAGATTGTGGGAAAATACTAGTCTCGGGTATAACATTAAATATTAGTTCCAAATACGGTATTATTATATCCGCTGAATTCTTAAAACATTCAGGAGTGGTATAATCCATACCAGGGGATTTGTTGCACTTGAGATGTTGAATCCTTTCAAGTATCACTAATAACTAATGCAGATATTAATCCTAATACTAATTACGCTGTATAGTTTGTTGTTTAGTTGACAGTTTGGCAAATATCCCTGACTGCCAAACTCATACATCAAAATTAACAGTGTTTGTCGTTATCTAGCGTGTCATTAGGTATGTGAACCCGGTTTCTATTCCCCACATGGGTACAATATGTGAAGCCCTTATCTGGTGTCCACCGCCGTGATATAGCTGGAATATTGCTAAAAGCGGCGTAAGACCATATTCAGTCACTCATTAAGTCTGTGCCTTTTGAACGATGTCGTTAGTGATATATTGTTCCTTATGTATGCATTTATTGTTAAGCAAGGTATATTGTTATTTCAAGGTATATGACGAAAACCTGAAAATAGTCCAGTGCGGACCGGAAAATCCAGTGATCGATATTATGAGTAATGATTCACGTCGTCACTGAGCCTGATCACCCGGCCCACTTGGTCGCTTCTGGGGACCAAACCTTACCCTAACTCTGCCCAGATTGTCAGACATTTAATTAAAATCCCCATACATTATGTTTATTTGTTTGGTTGGTTGCTGTTTAACTCCGCACTCAGTAATGTTCCAGCTGTGTCACGGCGGTTTGTAAATAATCGAGTCTATTAACATCATGAGCATCGAGCTATGCATTGGGATACGATGGCATGTGTCAAACCACGTCAGCCAGTCTGCCCACCCGATCCCGTTAGTTGCATGGGTTGCTGTAGACCAATTGTAACCCTAATCTTACCATACATTATGACTGAAATCACCATACTTTTGTTCTGTGATTATGTGCGAATAAAAGGCTGGTTTTAAACAAGGAAAAAGTATCAATATCAGAATCTATTTTTTCAGCCACAAGCAGCACACACAGACAAAGTGTCGATTCAGTTCAAGGACGTGCTCCAGATGACGTAACAGAGGCCATCCTTATTTTTGATATGAGAGAACAGAGCAATACATATATCAAAGGAGTTCCCATTGATCGTCAAGGTTCAGATGTACATAGTAACGGTTTCAGGAGATATTTAGAGGAGCGATTCCATGTTAGTACCAGTAATATACTTATGAAAGAGTTTCAAAACGAGACAGTTGCAATATTAGTTACTGATGAACAGATGCAAGAAATGCAAGTTGTGTTTATAGATATAATTGACAAATGTCCTTTGTGCATCAGTATGAAAAATAATGAAACCATTTCGAACTTATTTGGCGTACATTTTGATGAAACAGGGCGTCGTGTTGACGCTGTGTATATCCAAGGTGGGGAGGAAACTCCTTGCAGCGTTCTGAAAACTGGGGAGTTTGGGAAACTTGCCACGCAACCGTTCGGTAGAAGCTATTTGTTTCTTGACGAACAGTTGAAATTAGGTATTCGTAGACATCTTGACGAAAAAAAAGACGAGATCTCATATATTGACTGTAACAAGAGTGACACCATCAGCGTCATCAGAACAAAATTGAAAACAGAGTTCCCGAGCTTATTCCAAAGGGACACAACCCTGTTGTTCTGTGATTCTAATGGTATTGTTCAAGACACCACAATGGTAGGAGATACTGACGGAAGGCATATTCTCACGGACAAAAGTGATCATGAAACAGTATATGTTGACTCTATTTACAGCTCGTTCAGATAGCAGACAAGTTAAGTTTAATTGTAAGGGGCGACAAATGATCACTATAATTCAGAAAAACGACACCATCGCTGATTTAAGACGGTCTATTTCGAAGATTATTCACCACCCACCTGCGGGCATCAAACTCACCATAGGTGAAAAAGAACTGCCTGATGTGAGGAAAGTCTCCGATCTGCTTACAGTGAGACCAAAAGCTATCATCTGTGTTGAAATGACGACACCACAGCAACTGACTTTCATACACCACAGGGATGAAACGACTAAAACATATATATTAACTGCCTTTAGGCTAGACCCTGTTGATGGACTTAAAAGAAAGCTTGCATATCAGATGAACGCAGATCCGTTCAATCTTCAGTTGTACAGAAATGGTTCTGTTTTTGGTGGAAATATAACCGTTTGTAATATGGGTTTAGGAAGTGCCGAAGAAATAGAGGTTGTAGTTCACTCTCATCGTATACGTGTGTTTGTGACGTGCTCTGAAACTCCTGTCAAAAGAGTTATTGTTGATGACAGTAGCACCTTTACCGTTCGTCAGCTCCAACAGTTTCTCAGCATTCTCTTCTACACACATGTGGAAGCCATTGGTGTTGTTTATAATGGCATGACACTTGATTCTTCTTCAACATTGAATGAAGCTGGACTAACTCACGAATGTACGTTATCATTAACGTATCTCTCGGAACACGACACCGTACAAAACACAGGATCCGCAGTGGGCACCGTAGCTGGAGAGCGGGAAATAGAAGGACCTATGGATGTTACTGATCAAAGTCAGGCCAGGCCTGGTAAGTATGCGAATATCTATTAAGTGTTTATTTAGGTTATTTTATCTTGTTCTCATCAAGTTTCGCTTTTGTTTTATAAAACATATATATTTGTCTTTCTTTTTTAATTTTTTTATCGATTAATTCTGTCGAGAAGATGGAGAGCAGGTTCCGGAGTCGTCAAAGACAGGAACCTGAAATTATGGGTTCGAATCCCGATTAAGTTTCTGGGGGTTTTTTTTCACCAAAGCTATTAACGTCTAAGACCGTCATGACTTCACAATCGCATCAAGCTGCAATTCAGTTCAACCCTCCTCACTCCACCTACTTGTCATCATTTGATAATTTTGTTATATACTTTTTTATATTCGGTCATATATTTCTATACTTATTTGATCCGTTAGTGTTTCATGAGTCCGTATCTGGCTCTCCTGGAACTGATGCTGACCGCAAGAGGCTGCTACTCGGACAGGGTACACAGGCTCAGTGACGTTATTATTTGCGTGTGATGATCATGTACACCCGACAGTGTGCATGTGCATAGCTGCTCATGATATCAATCACTGGTTCTGCTGACCAAGAAACCATTATACAACATGTAGCTACTAGGTGATATATGTATGCCGCTGGGACATTGCCTGTACGTTAATCATATGCATCTAACAAACAAATTGTCCTTTTAGGTTTTGTTTGTTGTTTAACGCCTCAATATTCATATGGCGACAGTCTATGAATAATCGAGTCTGGACCAGACAATCCAGTGATCAACAGTATCTTTCTTATGATATAGCGGTAAAAAGTTACATCAAGATGTGAGTGTTAGAAATGGCATCGCTCATATGATGGCGATGACACCTGGTGGTCACCATGTAAGCATGTCCCCAACAACCCATGCTTGCCATAAGAGGCGACTCACGGGATCGGATGGTCAGGATTGCTGGCTTGTTTGACACATGTCATCGCATCCCAATTGCGTAGAAGGATGTCATGCTGTTGATCACTGGAGTGTCTGGTTCAGACACGATTATTTACAGACCGCCGCCATATAGCTGGAATATGTCTGAGTGCGGCGTTAAACAACAATCAACCAATCAATCATAACTGCTGTGAACTTCAAGCAAATATAGTACCTCAGTGTTAAATAATACCTAGTTTTGACTGTCCTCAAAAAACAGATTACAAAGGTGAAAATGGAAAAGTAGCAATGTAAAAATACGAATGGACCTTTGAAAGTCATTAATCACAGCAGAGTTTCGCGAAAAAAGCAAAACCATAGAAATGTAAGATTTCGAAGCAGCGTGCATATTAGACTAACGCTTAGTCTTGAATATATATAATTTTGATAGAAACAAACAAGTCCTTTTAAATTGAAAAGGCGCCCCAGAGAGAAGAGAGATTCAGAACCTGTAAATTCTAGGCTTGCTTCATTTAAGGCTTTAACATTGCAAAAATGGATGGGCGGTTGGGAAAATAATGGTTCAGGGTCTGTGAGACTACATCGGTATGTGAGAAATAATTATTTTTCAGTGACTTCGGGATTGTTTCAGGAGACGTCATGCAGAGTCGCGTATGCAAAGCGATGAACACAAAGACAAGGGTCCCCGGCATCAGGGAAGAGAAGACAGTATCAGGGACAGCACAGAACTCAACTGAACGCATGGTCACGTCCCGACTAATAAATATGCCCGGACAATCAACTGCTCTGGCAACAGATGTCATGATGCCTGTTGAAACGAATGCAGCCACTGCAACATCTACAACTCGACAGAATCCCTGGCGATTCCCAAATCCTCCTCCGAACGCGAACCAGCAAGTCTCAAACACTGAAATGTCGTTAGTTCATCAAATTCCGCAAACAACAGTGCCATTCGAACCCGACAGTGGTGACAATGGTGGACAGAGAGGGTACTTTAGATATAGGTCTGAGTGTGAACTTTGGCTACCACAGCCTTCAGACGCACCTTCGTCCTTACCCTTAATTCATCGAAGTCACTCCGACTGGTATATGACATGTAATGCTATTCCCGGTCCCATGTCATCTTCATTATCTCTGCCGTCATTGCTACAGGATCCCATCGATGGTATGTATTAATTTATGTTACACTTTTGAATATGTATAGTATCTTCCACGTTGGGCGACGCTCAAGAATGGGCTCAACTTAGTAGTGTTTGAATTGGGAATCGAACTCGAAATCTTCAGAAAGAGCGAACGCTTTCACCACAGGGCTAACGGAGTAGGGTTTCATTCATCCTTTAGTATTATAAAAGAGAATATCATCACCGGGTACACCACGACCGGTGTTCAGATGAACATTGCCTTATAGTTACCTTGCCTTCTCGTGTGTTTGTGTCGATTGTCACCAGTGGGGAAGGATACTTCTCGCTAACATCTTATATTATTACCAAGTGATAGATTTTTATAAGCACATGTTTAAGATAGATTTGGAGTCGTACAATGGACTTACTTGGTTTGGGACAATGTTTTGACGCTTATATTTCTTTTGGGCATTGTACAAGTAATTATCTGTATTGATGGTGATGGGTGACTGCACTATGATCATTTATAATTACCGTGACGTTTAATGCATAGAGTAGCTCTAGTATGGGTATCTTCTTGTGGATTTGTGGATGTTGCTACTGAACTAGGAAGATAAATGAGAATTATCAAAACTGGGCCTTCGATTTGATGAACAATGTTGTTAAATCGTTCGCTCGTCATGCTGAAGGCCCGGGTTCGATTCGAAGCGCCTTAAATCCCAACGAACAACAGGACAAGGAAGCCAGGTGGTTAAAACATTCATTCAACATGACGAGTTATTGAATTGTCAATTTTTATCCAGGTTTTACGTGCGTGTAGCTTATATTTAGCTTTTATCAACATTTTAGGTTTTTATAAATAAAAATGTGTTACATAGAAACTAACTATAAACGTATCATTCTAGCCGTTCCAGATCGTATTCTCGACGATCTTGCTGGGAGGTTGGGAAATGACTGGTATACACTTGGAATTCGGCTTGGATTGGAGACACACCAACTGAACGGAATCAAGCAAGATCAGAAAGATGATCTCTGGAACCAAGCTTACCAAATGCTGTTCCGGTGGAAGAAAACAAGGGGGAAACTTGCCACCCTGGAAACACTGTGTGCAACGTTAAGAGAGTGTGAACTCGCAGCCCACGCAGATTCTATTGAAGAATGGAATACCAATGTTTCAAATCAAAGAAGTATAAGAAACTAGAAAATATGCTTCCTGCATAACTGGTCGTCACAGGTTTTGTTACAGTCCTGAAATTGTAACCAAATTATGCAAAGAAAAGCGCCCTAAGCTTGCGATCCTTCTTGGATTTAAATAACGATTTAAATAAGGGGCCAATGTTTGTGTGGGAGTTTGTATGTATTTTGTACTTTGTAATGAACTGAGAGAAACCAACTGGTTTGGAAATGTATATTTATGACGAAACAAGAGACTTGAAAAATACATTTTTCTTGTTGGATGTAAATATCTTTAAATGATTCAAAATATATATTGAATTAAATATTTTTTTGCAAATGTCCGTTATCAATTAGACATAAAGAACGTGTAAAGTAAATTGGTGATCATTGATCGTTTGCTGATATGGAATTCTAGGAGAAGTGGTCAAAACAATAGGGGCGGTGGGGTAGCCCAGTGGTTAAAGCGTTCGCTCGTCACGCTGAAGACCCGGGTTCGATTCCCCAGATGGGTACAATGTGTGAAGCCCATTTCTGGTGTCCCCCACTGTGATATTGCTGGAATATTGCTAAAAGCGGCGTAAAACCACACTCACTATATATACAATAAGGGACAAAAGATACTGTCCATTGTTTATGGTACTTCAGTACTGATCACTGTTCTTTGCTTGTTCAGTAGGACTGTCCTGAGGATGTTCAATCCTTCTGTTTCCTCTGTTGATATGGAAACTAAGCTGATCAAGACAACTTCGAATGCCAAATATTGTAAATGTTCTAAACAAAATCACTCACACCCGAGTTTATTATGGAAAACACATATGACAATTAGAGGTGCAATTCTAAACAACTGTCGAATTTTAATCACATACAACAAATTTATCTTTTTGCAATTTAGTATCAATCTGCTCCAACAATTTCAGTGTGGAAAGTTCAGCATCAAATTCAATTTACTCCTGAAGAATTTAAACTAGAAAATATGCTTCCTGCATAAATGGTCGTTACAGGTTTTGTTACAGTCCTGAAATTGTATCCAAATTATGCAAAGAAAAGTGAATGTTTTGGCTGCGCCGTAAGCTTGCGATCCTTTATCGATTTAAATAACGATTTAAATAACGGACCAATGTTTGTGTATTTTTCTTGACAATTGTTGCTTTGTATTCGATAATAGAAAACAAAATTTCATCTGAATTACAGAATTAATATATTTTCAGTGTTTTAGGATTCTGTGAATTTCCAGTTGGTTACAGGTGTCAGAATTCCTTAGGGTTTCTATGGTAACAGGTGCCAGTATTTTCTGACGGTTAGAGTTTTCCTGATTCTATGAGATGAGACTCCTTAAAGTAAAACTGCCATAATCATAAGCATTTATGTGGACTCGGTACTCGTACTGCTGTCAGTCGCTCTTCAATGAACTTCGCCGGCTGGCCCTCGAGGACCAAAAACTCAAACATATCCATTTCTGCCGTTTCAATTGGAGTACATGTGATCAGATGTCACGTGACCGTACACTAGCGACATGTGCATCTGTGTATTATGTTTATGTGAATGACATGAACAATTGTTCAATAACATACAGTTATTATTATCGTGGACATATCAGAAGTATATTTTAGGCTCAAAAATTTTGATAGCCCCCGCGTACTTTCGATACGTGTTTGGCATTCACATTGTCTTGAGATACACAGCCTCCAGTACCGTAGCGATTTGTCAGTTTTCTGAATTTCCCTGCAGCTTATATAAAATGAAAAGTCAAGTCGCAGTTGCAAATTATGTTTGTATGTGATAGTTATGAAAATGTAGTTTATTACATAGACCATGGTAGACCGAGCTGTCATTCGAAAACATTCAACGGAACGTTCTGTGGTCTAAGGGAGACAACTCCATGTTATTTTTTAGAACAGCTGATCAATTGGCTCAGTTCATATGCACATTGTGTTGTTATAGGCTGGTGTAATTTGTGTATCGTTTTGTTTACGGACGAAATGACACAAACAGATATAATGTTATAGTTATAATTTATACGTGTAAGTATAACTTGTAGTAATTCCGGACTTGGCGGTTGAAGATAAGAATTTACGCCTGATAATCTATGAATGAAATAAAGGCAAAGTTATGCTGAAATCCAAACGAAGAGTGAGTGAGTTGGGTTCTACGCCGCTTTTAGCAATATTCCAGCAATATCACGGCGGGTCTTACCAAAGAACATCTCTAACAGTTATAAAAAATGCCTCCCAATCAACATGTCATACACAGTGTGTTTTTACGTTTATACCTCCATGAACGCAATAAAAATATAATGGAAGTCAGTTCATAAATGAAGCTGTCATTATTACGCGCCATTCAAAGGATTAACGGGTCCATAATTTCCAGAATATTTCTTATTAAAGATATCAGGATAACGTGTGATTCAAAGGAATAAAGATGCCTTAATCTACAGGTGAGGTGAGGTGAATTTGGGTTTAACGTCGTGCTTGAGAATATTTCGCTCATATGACGACGTGCATGCGTGTGTATGTGTATGTGCGGACTTAAGCTGGTTTTATAGTGCTAGCCAACTGAAATCCCATGTCGCAGTGAAGCATGAATACCCCACTCAGACGCATTATACTGACTCCGAGCCGACCAGTCCTTGTTGTACCCATTAATGCCGAGCGCCAGACAGGGACCTACTGACTCCGAGCCGACCAGTCCTTGTTGTATCCATTAATGCCGAGCGCCAGACAGGGACCAACAGGTACCATATTTTAACGTCTTTTGGTTCGGGAATCGAACCTGCGACCTTCCGCTCTCCGGGCGGACGCTCTAACCACTACACCACGGAGGCGGTCCCTTAATCTACAGAATTTTTAGATAAAACTGTCATCTTTATGTGAGGTCAAAGAATTAAAGGTGCTATAATCTCCAGAACATTTGTATTAAAGCTGTCAGATTTACGTAACTTCCAAGCTGCGAATATGTCTCCATTCGCATGACAAGTGTGATTTCAAATAGATCTAAATGTTTCATAAAATCACATTCATGTTAGTTTAACGTGTAGTCTGTCAGTGAGTTGATCTCACTCTGCAGTGGTTTACAGTATGGACTATCGCTGAAAAGTACATAATTTTATCTTTCTACAATTTCTCTCATTTCATTAGAACTCTATAAGTTTTGAGTTCCAGTTATATTAAAGGCCCAACACGACACCTTGGGATAGACATCACAGTAATATTGCAAAAATTCATGGAAAGTACATGACGTCTATTGTGTGTTTGTGTTTGGCGGGTAGAAACAATCGAATCCGGCCGGACTAGTGATTGATATTAGGTTTACTTTGGTTTTTCAGCGTTGCCCTCGGCAACGTCCGGTGTTTATAAGTGAGTGAGTTAAGTTTTACGCCGCTGTTAGTAATATTCGAGCAATATCACGACGGGGACACCAGAATGGGCTTCACACATTGTACCCATGTGGGGAATCGAACCGAACCCGGGCATGACGAGCTAACGCTTTAACCACTAGGCTACCCCACCGCCCCTTATGACCGCGGTCTGTAAGCAATATATTCTGAACCAGACAACCCGGTGATTGACATCATGAGCATCGATCCGTGCAATTGGGATACGATGACATGCTGTCAACCAAATCACCGAGTGTGACCACAGGCCATCGTGTCTTTGCAAGGATTACAAAAAAAAGAGATTGAAATGACCCCCGACTCGAAATGCTTCACAGTACAATATATCACTTTAATCCTCTCAAAGACAGGATGCCCCGTGCTTATAAAAGTTGAGGTTGCTGCAGACCAAGGTTCGTTACCTGGAACTATCAGTATCCCACGACATTTGGTTGAACTGACCACCAAACTACCAATCCTGGCAGCGGTTGGGTAGCCTAATGATTAAAGCGTTCGCTCGTCACGCCGAAGACCGGTTCGATTCCTCACACGGGCACAATTTCTGGTGTCCCCCGCAGTAATATTGCTGGAATATGGCTAAAAGCGGCGTAAAACTAAACTCACTTACTCACCCAAGCCTGGCCCTCCGATCCATATACTCAGCTCTCCGAGGATTCTTGCTCGAAATCCCTACAGAGTATTGCCATGCTAACGTGAAAAAAGACATACTCCTTAAGTGAATAAACGGCGTAAAAGCTCATTCTTTCAGTGAGCAAAATTAATGTTAAAGTTTGCCTGAGATATTCATCAAATAGATACAGTTGTTGACACACGCCGACACTCTCCGTTAACCCGTGTTTACGGATATTGTACAGGTATATTTACACATGTCATGCGCATGCGCTGTAAACGTGCGTAAACATGTTCCATACACCAGTATATCTTTGTTTTCTTCTAATGGGTGTCAACAAGACGTCTAAATGCGTACCTTTCTTTGCCCATGAAAGATCCGGTTTTCCAAAGTCAAAGGAAATATCATCTTGACCGCGCACACCTCACGGATATTGACAACCGCCATGCATATTTCTTTCTTTAGTCTAGCGGTTGATTGCAAAATATATGGCTCACCTGTAAACACCCATATTCTTGCCTGTTGAAACTCTCCACGTAATGAATAAGACGTTGTTACTGTGTGGGTGCGCTACTAAATACTAGCATATTCAAAGCAAGTGCGAAATATCACAAGAGTGCAATGTTAAAAGTGCGAGTAGTGTGTACCTTAAATACGTTTTGTTTTTCAAGCGTGCTTGCGTTCGCAGTAGCTATGTATGATCTAACAAGCTTGAGGAATATGATGGGTTTGCTTGTCATGCAAAAGATACTTTTACTTTTAACACGCTATTGGCACATGGTTTTATTATACATCATTATCTACGCATAGCTATGTGGGGTAGCCTAGTGGTTAAAGCGTTCGCTCGTCACGCCGAAGACCCGGGTTCGATTTCCCACATCGGCACAATGTGTGAAGCCCATTTCTGGTGTCCCCCGCCGTGATATTGCTGGAATATTGCTAAAAGAGGCATAAAACTCACTCGCTCCTAAATCTGAGGCAATGATATCTACTCTTATACATTTCTTCAGTACAATGAACTAAGCTTCTTACACATCGCCAATACGCTTAAAACATGAACGGACCCATTTTCAATATTATCATAAGTATTTATTATTCCTCTGAATGTACATGTATTACTTAAAACTATAACTATTTATTGCGCAGTTAAGATGATGTTATGATAAAGTAACTAAGTGAGTGAGTGAGTTTAGTTTTGCGCCGCACACCGGGGTACCGCAATAATTAAAGTAAATTAATTTCACAGATAAAGTTGGTTGGTTGGTTTGTTGTTTAACGCCGCACTATAACTATGCTATTCCAAAAAAGAAACGCATAACCCAGAAATCTGTTGCGAAAATGTTGTATTTTCAAACATGTATAACTCGTCCACAACTTATGCAAAACTTATGTAAAACATAAAATATGTTATTAATAGTATAACAGTAGAGAGTTACGATACCTATTGAAAAAAGTAGTGTGCCACTTAATAGTGAGTGAGTGAGTGTGGTTTTACGCCGCATTTAGCAATATTCCAGCAATATCACGGCGGGGGACACCATAAATGGGCTTCACACATTGTCCCCATGTGGGGAATCAAACCGTGTTTTCAGTGTGACGAGCCCACGCTGTTAAAAACGGCGTAAATCCATACTCACTCACTCACTCTACAACTTTAATAGTTTGCACACCATTTCATATCAAGTCAAGTTAAATCAATATAGGAATGATGACGTGGTTGTTGTAAAGAAACAGAACTTGCTTTGATTTTATTAAATTGTTACAATCAGTTTCATAGTTTCATAAGTTCATCCTTTGCCTATTACTGCAAATGGACTATGGAAGTAACGTATTCGGTTTCACAGATGCAGTGCGCTAATTCATTTCAAATGACCCGGGTACGTCGTAGTACGTAGTGTCTCTCACATACCCCGCTTGTTATATCTCGGCTATGTTTAGGTCACACGTTTCAAGTACACTTGATCATGTTACACAGTTTTGTTAGAACAAACAGCTGCACCTCACAGGCAGCTGATCAACAGCATCGCCAACGGTGTACACCCGGAACAAGGATGTATGCTGAGACACCCGAGGTCGTCTGTGTCAAGTCCTCTCGCGACTTTGACGACGACAAAGAAACGACACGCATATCTCCAATGTGTACAATAAGGCTCGTTTATTCTCCTTCTGACTGAACCAACAATGGGCGAGTACAATGTTGTACTGATTCGGCAATACAATAGCACTTGACTGAGAAAAGAAATCAGAATTACTTTTGATACATAAGAGGATTCCACCCCGCTGTTCAGCCAGTGTATATAGTAGGGGTGAAACGGTACGCTCTTACCACGGTACGGTACGTATTGCGGTACAAGGCCATCGGTTAGGTCCGGTTAGGTTCGGTAAATGAGATATGATCGTAATGCAGGAAATTGAGAAAAAGAGCCAAACCGTACATTGTTTAATAACATGGGGCAAAATAACCATAATGGTTGTTATTTTGAAAAAACAAAACTGTCATTTTATGATTAGATAAAAGTGACGGTAAGAATTTTGGGATTGCATTACGGTATACCGAACCGAAGACAAAATACCGCGGTTCTACTACTACCGCGGTATACCGTTTCACCTCTACCATATAGTACATTTTAATTTGAAACTGATATAACTCATTTTTCGATTTGAAATATTTATAAAGAAGGACGTAGATGTTTATTGGTAATTGACTAACTAATGCAAACAAAACGAAGGTATGCACTTGAAACTTGGATTTGACAAAACAACAGCAAACGTCATCAAAACGTCAATTGGCTCAAAATAGTCGCAGAAATACTGCAACAAAATTAGTTCCAAAACAAACTATAATACGTGAATGAAATTCATTGAAAAAGACATTTCTTCTTTGTTTCATATTCAGCCACCATCAAACAAGGTGTAGACTTGATCAGTTATAGGGGAGGAAAGCCCGGAGTAAGCCGATTTATAGAGGTTTTCCATTTTGGAGAAAACCACGAGCAAGAGTGTTGTGTTGAAAACTTTATTTATCAGGCCTAATCTTGAATACGAAACGATCGGATGTGTCTGCGTGTCCAAGGGACGCAACTCCACCTACGATCATGTCACATAACTCAAACTTTGCTCATACTGTCGCCCACTAGATCTCCAGGTTTATAGGGCTCTGTATATTTTATGCCGAAACGACACACTAAGGATTAATTAACATTCTAGAAAAGCATCATCTGGTTCAGCAAACCTTGTGTTTCTCCCGAAGTATCTCCCAACGTTATGACAAGGCTCGCCTCTGAATCATCGAGTCTGGACCA